GAAATAGGAGACGTTTCCAATAGAATAATTTATTTATAAGAGAATAAAAAATTTATAACAAAATATAAAAGAACATTAATACATAAATCACAATAAAACAAGTTCATTAACTATAAATATAAATAATGACCAAAAAATGCACGATTTTAACATTATATTTGGCTTACACGTTTAATATATAATTTCAAATTTTGTAACATGGATAGCTAAAGATGATTTTTATTATAATTTCAAAGCCAAATAACAGAAGCATTCCAAATGCATAAATTATAGACTATCTGCATATATCATTGATTTTCACACCGAAAAGAACCCTGCTAAATACAATTTTAAAGCTTCTATGAGAGTCTAAACATGAATATATACACTTCTTATAAAGGAATTGTTAATATTTATACAAAATGGAAGATTTATATATTAAGAGAAATTACAAAAACTTTGTGGTTGTGAGTAACTGCAATAAAGTGGTTAATCTTAGAAAATATTGCTCCCTAATATGTAAAAGTATCTTTGAGCAACTTGATAAATGAAACCTTACACTAAACTGAATGTGAGTTCACATCGTATAACAGATATGATTCCCATTGAAATATCGTACCGTAATTACATAAACTAACTAAATAAAATCTATCCAAATAAACAACTACCTATTGCCTATCCTAACAACACAAACCCGCAAATGAAAACGTATCACCCCTTATTCAATTAGAGTACGAAAGAAAACTAGCCAAGACAGCGGCAGTGTTTACATAGATTACAAACAGGGCCAGCCTGAATTAAAATATCACCATAGAAAGAGTAAAGCTCAGACAAATTTTCAATTTCGTACTTTCCGGATTACCAAACTCGAATCTTTGGAGAGCTTCGAAAAATGGGAAGGGGTTGGTAAATATCTAGACAGCACCTACCATAAGAAATATACTGCAAAATGATGCTGTACTTTAATTTCTTTCTTAGTAATGAAAGTTAATGGTATTTAATGTACAAGTACCTACCACAAGTGTATTAGTACTTCATTAAAAATATTGTTAAATGTTAATTGTAATATGTACCCATTATCTTGATATGCCGATTATGCTCGGGATAAGTGAAAATGTTATATTCGAGTTCAATTTTGTTTGTTGTTTAAAGATACCAAAATGTTTTACGCCTAGATAGTCCAGGAAATATAGAGTTGGACGCGACTTTTTGTTTCGGCAAGCTGAATTTATCACTATAGATGCTAAATATTATGTACAATAATATATTAGTTTCCACAGTCATAAAAATGGGGGGAAGATTCCACATATCATAAAACCCTTGCGTACCAAATTTAGTGACTCTCGTACAACAGGGTTCTGAGATATAAAGAAGACTATTCTTTAGATTTGAGGGGTTTGGAACTCCAAAAAGGGGGCCACTTGGCAAAAATAAAAATGACGTTCCCCCTAAATTTGTCTTAAGAATCTATGAACAAATTTTGTTGCATTAATTTCGGGACACACTGTATGTATACGAATACATAATAGACAAACAAAAAAACATAAATGTCTCCAAGATTTGCAAAGATATAAATATTAGAAGTAGACGAACGAGAAGCATTTTTTACGGGACTAATAATAACATAGGCCGACAAAAAAAGTTTTTTTTTTTGGTTTTTATATCAGATTTTGATGTGCTGAAACCAAATATGAAGAGCAAAGAAAATTTTCATAGTTTAGATTTTTTGTAATCGCAAGAAAATTCTCTTTTATATTAAATATGCAGTTATCCCAATACTACCTTTGGAAGGGTTTTAACCGTTCGTAAAGGTCCTGCCAAGTTTTTACCACTGTCACCCCCAAACCTTAGTCGGCACTAGTTAAGTCAGGGTAGGCTATTCTTAAAAACACACTTGAGGTTTTTCAACGAAATTGAGTTGCTGTCCTTTTTGCCTTTGAAAGCGTAGATCGTCCTTTTCTGACGTCGGATTTATGATGAGCGCCTAAAAATACGTAGCCCTTATGGCCCTTTTTTGTCTTCAAAAGGGCCGCCCGCCAAGTTTGGATTCAGATTGGTGTTCAGCACCCAAAAATACATACGAAATCAGTCGTCTAGCTTAAAATGAGGATAGAGTCAGTATTCTTCATACATACAGCACTTCAAAATCTATAAGAAATGATAGGACTGATCTAAAAACCAAAAAATTTTTTGTTGGCCTGTAGGTATACAAATTGAAAGTGAATGCGAATTTTTGGGACAATGGTATCACATGTGTTTGAATCGTGACAAACAGGAGATTACCATGAAGACATGGACAGTGCGATATCTGAAAAAAGGTTTGCATCTATTTTGCCTCATATCAATCTTGACGCAGTGATTGCCATAATAATACGCCTTACCATAGTCGACCAGACTGCCAACATCGGCATGGAACAAAAGGAAAAACCGTGGAGTGGTTGAACGGAAAACATTAAAAATAAAGACAAGATGGTAAAAGTACAATTATTAGCAATTGCCCAAAAGGAAAAAGCTAATTACATGTAATATGTAGTTGATGAAATGACTAAAGCAGGCGGTGTTACATTTTTTCGATTGCCACTTCATTTCTGTGAGCAGAACTCCATTGAATTAACCTGGCTGACATAAGAACAACAAATGTGGGACCATGACACAAGCATTAAAGTTGTAATAGAACCACTTACCACACCTTTAGGTGACATCAGTGGTAGCATTAGCGACAATGATAATCATAGCGACAATAATAATTAGTTATTTTACTTATGATTATAACCGCCATTTCGGGTGTTTTATAGTGTTCTCGTTTTGCAATGATGTTTCTACTTTTAGTAGTTTTAGGGGTTTCATTGATTTTATGTCGCCTTACTTATAAGTATTTGTAAGTAGACCTTTCCCAGGAGACATTTGTCCAGTTAACAAAAGCATAATAAAAAAAGAAGAGGTGTTCGCGAGTGGTAGTAGTCTATCTTTGCCAAGAGTTGGCCCCATGCTGACTTTAGCATAAATTAAAAAGTACCTACATACGTAGCATTTTGAGGCGCTAAAAACGATACCATTAGTAAAATCCATAATCTCGATATCTCCGAAAATCCACTATGTGTGAAAACTGGTCCGAATGTGGGTCAACACTGATACTTTCCTAGACTTTTGTCTAAATGCATCATTTTCGTAGTATTTTAACAAACTGGGCTTGAAGGAGCGATAGGTTGCATGAAAATGACAAAGAAAACGGAAAGTGGCATTCGATTCCTGACTGATTTCCAATGAAAAATCCGTTTCAATTAAAATCCTACCTGATCCTGTTTCGAAAATATGTATATTTTTTACTTTTTATATAGTCTATAGTCTCTAGTATTAATACTGAAGTATGCACATGTGGCGAAAAAAATACTATACTAGTACATAATCAATTTTGTGTGCTTGTGTATGCGTGCGAGCGTGCATATGTGCATTTCTGTCCGTGAATATAAGATATTATTTCCACACCATCTATGAGATAAATATCACTGCGCGCTTTTTTTAAAGTGGTTTCCCCTGTAGGCCTAGTCCAATTATCTCATTTATTTGAAATAACTATAAATGGTGTGAAGAAAATGTAACCACTGCTTTAAATAATCTAGTCAAAAAAGATGGATCATCAATTGAGTTTATTTTAAATTTTTCCCAATATTTTAAAAATTCTCGGTGAACAGATTCACCGGCCTGCTCTGACCATAGTCCCAGACCATCATTGTTCAAGTACAGAAGGCTATCTTTCAAATGATCCAAAAGAACGTGGATTTTTAAAGTTTGAGAAACTCCTGTACTCTCAAAAGCATTGCGAAGTGTTGTCAAATCTTCGTCTATTTCGTTTATATCAGCTTTTTTTGTAGAAATAGAAGAAAATTTGAAAAAAGTTCGCAAAGCTTTTGAGAGTACAGGAGTTTCTCAAACTTTAAAAATCCACGTTCTTTTGGATTATTGGAAAGATAGCCTTCTGTACATGAACAATGATGGTCTGGGACTATGGTCAGAGCAGGCCGGTGAATCTGTTCACCGAGAATTTTTAAAATATTGGGAAAGATTTAAAATAAACTCAATTGATGATCCATCTTTTTTGACTAGATTATTTAAAGCATTTTCTTCACACCATTTATAAATAGTTATTTCAAATAAATGAGAGTATTTTTTCATATGCAAATAGATATAATATTTAGAAACTGAACAGCTACATGCAGTGGACTAGGCCTACAGGGGACACCACATTAAAAAAAGCGCGCCGTGATATTTATCTCATAGATGGTGTGGAAATAATATCTTATATTCACGGACAGAAATGCACATATGCACGCTCGCACGCATACACACGCACACAAAATTGATTATGTACTAGTACAGTAATTTTTTCGCCACATGTGTATACTTCAGTATTAATACTCTGGATATACTATATAAAAAGTAAAAAATATACATATTTTCGAAACAGGATCAGGTAGGATTTTAATTCAAACGGATTTTTCATTGGAAATCAACAAGGAATCGAATGCCGCTTTCCGTTGTCTTTGTCATTTTCATGCAACCTATCGCTCCTTCAAGCCCAGTGTGTTAAGGCACTGAACACGATGCCATTAGTAAAATTTACCCATGACCTTTATATTTATCAGAAAATCTACTATTTGGGTGAAAACAGGCCAAAATACTACGAAAATGATACATTTGGCCAAAATTTAAGTAAAAATTAGTTTTGACCCGTATTTGGACCAGTTTTCACTTAAACAGTAGATTTTCTGAGAAATATCGGGCTCATGGGTAAATTTTACTAATGGCATCGTGTGCAGTACCTCAAAATACTACGAAAATGGTATATTTGGACAAAATTTTGGAAAAAATCAAGGTTTGACCCGTATTTGGACCAGTTTCACCCAAAAATTTCACTTTTCTCCGAAATTTGTCGATCGTGTTCAGTGCATCGAATTCCTTCGGAAATGATACGTGGCTCTCTTGGGTTTGGACTTTTTATTTTTTTTTGTGGCTGTGTATTTGTTGTTATATTAGGGTGCGTGTAGATTTGTAATTATAATCTAATTTGAACCAAAATCGACATATCTACTTGTTATACTATATTTAATAATTTCTCTAAAATGATACGCCAATGGAATCGCATTTGCTGCATACCGTACGCATATCACATTGATGTAAATGTTGAGAATACTCATGGTTAGACATCACTTCATTTTGCATTACATTACTTAGTACTGTCTGGAATCAGTTTGGAAATAACGCGGAAATTGAAAATGTCCCTTAAGCTACCCCACACCGAAGTAGACAACGATTACTAACTACCCCTGCATATCATCGAAGTTCACTTTTGTTGGTGTTTTCTGATGGGGAACATCCACTGGTTCCGCCGCGATCGATAAGGTCAGAGGTTTCATTTTCAGAGGGTGACCATTCAGTTTGACGTCGGCATTGCGCGTGGTGGCGTCTTTAAAATCCCGGCTGTGCGACGACACGGAGCCGGGGCTGACCGCAGGCTTGTGGCTATCTCGGTTACTTTTGCTCTTACTTGTCACTTGGTCTCTTAGGGCCATTTGGTAAGCGAGCTCGAAAGCTTGGCCCAAAGTTAGGATGATATCAATGGCCTGCTCCTGCGAATTTATTAAAAGGCTCTATTTCCTGTTTCGAAAACTGGCGAAAACTGAACTCTACAAATCCAGAAACTTGGTAGGTACGGGTTGTATTGGTAAGCCCCCTCAAATGCAACTTTCACAAGTAATTACTTAACAACATTCAACATTTTTATTTTAAAATTTTTAAGGGGTTGGATTAAATGGTAATACTTTTCAAATGGAGACGCTATAACCTTCGGAAAAATTGCAATAAGATTTAATAATAATTATACATAATAACAGACATATTTCATGAATAAATATAATAGAAAATAGAGTGCAGAATAAATACAAATTCCAGATCCAGTTAAGTAAGTACCTGTGCCAAATACGGCTTTGCCTATAATGAGGCCGTAAAGTCGTCACTTTAGAATTATAATGACTCAAAGATTAGTACGGCCTGAATTGTCGTAGGTATTTTCCATATACCACTGATAATTACACCGGCCAAAAAAAATTAAAAAAGTTATATGAACTTTACATACGCATATGATTTCCTGTGTATTTTTGTCTCCTGAGCACGAATCCATAGTCTGTTTTGCTCAATCACCCTTCAGAAAATCGCTAAAAATCTTCAGTAAAATGGAGAAATTTAGGAAGTGACGAGATCATGGCCATCGAAAACCATGAGTCATATATGAAAATCTCGTTCCTTCTACAAATTTGCCATTTTTTAGATCTTCTTCGATTTTTTAAAGACTAGACGATGATGGAGCAAATCTGACATTGGATTTGAATTCAGAAGGTAACAATACGTCCGAAAACATATGCTACATATCAAGATCTTCTCAAATTTCGCCCTTTTTCTGAAGATCTTCAGCGATTTTTTGAAGACTAGAGGGTAATGGAGTAATTCTGACAACGGATTCGGATCCAGGAGGTAAAATTACGTCGAAAACCATGTGTCACGTGTTAAGATCTCGTCACTTCCTAAATTTCTCCATTTTACCGAAGATTTTTAGCGATTTTCTGAAGGTATTCAGCGATTTACGGAAAACTGAAGGGTGATGGAGCAAAATAGACTATGGATTCGTGTTCAGGAGACAAAAATACTCGGGGAACCATATGCCGCATGTCAAGATCTCGTTACTTCTCAAAATTCGCCTTTTGTCTGAAGATCTTCAGCGATTTTTTGAAGACTAGACGGTTATGGAGTAATTCTGACACCGTAATCGGATTCAGGATAGAAAATTACGTCGAAAAACATGTGTCACATGTCAAGATCTCGTCACTTCTTAAATTTCTCCATTTTACTGAAGATTTTTTGCGATTTTCTTAACGGTTCAGCGATTTACGGAAAACTGAAGGGTGATGGAGCAAAACAGACTATGGATTCGTGCTCAGGAGACAAAAATACACAGGAAATCACATAACTTTTTTTTGTTGGCCGGTGTCATTATCAGTTATCCACAATTGTGGAAAACCTAATTAATAGACCAGGCAATAAAGAGAAAAATATCTAGATTTTCGCGGTCCGGTCCGATTTTAATGCGGTTTTTTGCATTTTCATCCGAGACACTTGCCAAAGTGCACGGAATACCGCAAAAAATGGTACTCGGGGGTTTTGGGAGGCGCAGAATTCGAATATGCATATATCCAGTCCACCCGACCCCCCCGGGGGGCGACTTCCGGCCGCCTGGGGGCGCGGGGGGCATGTGGATTGCAAGGTTCTCCGAATGACTGGAAAAATGGATCTCGGGGGGGTTTTCACGGGTGCTGATTTCGATTTCTAGGGTGAAAAATATCCCCTGTGCTTGTAGAGGGGGGGGGGGGGGGTGAAATCTAAATTTCTCGAAATCTGTGGGAAAATGTATCTCGGGGGTTTTCGCGGGTGACGATTCCGAATCTGAGGGTGAAGAATATCCCCTGTACTCGTGGAGGGGGCGGTGGGGGGTATGAAATCTAAAGTTCCCGAAATGACTGGAAAAATGGATCTCGGGGGTTTTTGCCGACGCTGATTCAGAATCTGACCCTGCCAAATGCGTCCGATGACTATTTCTAATTATTTTGGGGAAGGGCGTTAATCTTCTAAGAAGGATGAATATAAATTAATGGAAAATCATGGGACGAAACTCAATCTAAAAAGTTCGGTTGGAAAAAGAAAGGATAAGCCTGATAATTTTTTTAAATATATTTATTGTTCTAAAGTATAAAAGTATATTTATTGTTTTAAAATATANAAATTTCTCCATTTTACCGAAGATTTTTAGCGATTTTCTGAAGGTATTCAGCGATTTACGGAAAACCGAAGGGTGATGGAGCAAAATAGACTATGGATTCGTGTTCAAGAGGCAAAAATACACGGGAAACCATATGCCGCATATCAAGATCTCGTCACTTCTCAAAATTCGCCTTTTTTCTGAAGATCTTCTGCGATTTTTTGAAGACTAGACGGTTATGGAGTAATTCTGACAACGGATTCGGATCCAGGAGATAAAATTACGTCAAATAACATGTGTTACGTGTTAAGATCTTGTCACTTCCTAAATTTCTCCATTTTGCTGAAGATTTTTAGCGATTTTCTGAAGGTAATCAGCGATTTACGGAAAACCGAAGGGTGATGGAGCAAAATAGACTATGGATTCGTGTTCAGGAGACAAAAATACACGGGAAAACATAAGCGCGCAAGTCAAAATGTATATTGTTAATAGGTAAAATAATACGCATTGCAATGTAATTACACTAAATAACTCCTCGATACTTTGTCAAGGGATGTTTAAAGATTACTTTTAAACTTTAGTAACATCAAAAACTTGATTTTTTGTTATTGTTTTAGAGTCTTGAAAATGGCCGTTTTTGCATTTTTTCGTATATTAAATTGTTTATAACTCAGAAACCGTTGATTTTAGGAGCATAGCGCATAGGAACTATTTTGTTTAGAATACCCCAAAATACCTAAATAAACTTTTTGCGGAGCAAAACAAGTTATTTTTACAATTTGTTTTAAAAAAAATAGTATAAAAAAATTGTGACCAGGTTACCGGTCGGTAACATTTTGATCCTCATTCAGGGACATCTCACGAAGGTGATTATGCAAAAAAAACTAATCCACTAATTTTTTCATACCAAGACGCCGATTTCGCCTTGTCTAGAAGGTATTCAGCGATTTACGGAAAACTGAAGGGTGACGCAGCAAAACAGACTATGGATTCGTGTTCAGGATACAAAAATACACGGGAAACCATATGCCGCATGTCAAGATTTCGTCACTTTTCAAAATTCGCCTTTTGTCTGAAGATCTTCAGCGATTTTTTAAGACTAGACGGTTATGGAGTAATTCTGACATCGGAATCGGATTCAGCATGGAAAATTATGTCGAAAAACATGTCTCGCATGTCAAGATCTCATCACTTCCTAAATTTCTCCATTTAATTGAAGATTTTTAGCGGTTTTCTGAAGGTATTCAGCGATGTACGGAAAACTGAAGGGTGATGGAGCAAAACAGACTATGGATTTGTGCTCAGGAGACAAAAATACACAGGAAATCACATAACTTTTTTTTTGTTGGCCGGTGTCATTATCAGTTATCCACAATTGTGGAAAACCTAATTAAAAACTGTCTAAAATTATACTGTTAAGCGAGACTAATTTGTTGCACATCGATCGAGCACAAGAGATGATTCAGAAGGGTGAGAATTAAAAATTAAAGATAGACAAATTCACCAGAATCATAGAACTAGAAAAAAGCACATCTATGTAAAATTAATTCTATTCTAATATTTTATAGGAAAATATGAATGTGATTTAGGAATTTTTAGGAATATGTGTAATAGCTTCCAAATTTCTAATAATAATTATTAAGTGTGAAGCATAATTCTTTAACTATTTTGTTATCCTTAAACCCGTACCAAGTTTCTGCATAATGCAGGATGTAACTGTAAATGGGGGTCAGTTTTTTTAGGGGTAACAGTATATTTTTCCCAGAATTCAAACTGAAATCATATTTTTTACATGAAACAAATAGTCCAGTTATAATTCGTTTTTTAAACTCTTGTACAGGATATCACTAGACAGCATCGAACCGGGATGTTTGTTACCATTTTAAATCGACTGCATGGATTAGCATTGCAACGTGCTACTTGCGAGTGCTTTTAAAAAGTGAACACCTTTTTCGTGATTCATTAAATATTAACTAATATTGGTGTGTGAAAAATTTATGAATCAAACTTGAGATTTGACAGCTGTGCTAGCGCACAAGGTTGTTAGAGGTTACACTAGCCTGTCCAGCGGAAGAATATGAAAATTAAAAAAAAATAATCGATTTTCATTTATGAAACCACATTTACGATATGTGTTTCTAAAAGTCAAAGGTAGCTTCCATATAAATATGAACCCCATTCAAAGTTATAGCCCGTATACAATAAATCTATGTTTTTTCGTACAGGAACACTAAAAAACAATGTTAAAAAAAACTTACCGGAGAAACCGCCTGAAAGACATGGCAATAGAACGAATCACCATCCTTCGTGATATACGCGAAGAAACACTGGTTCTCATTGTCCTGGCAAACGCAGTTCATGTTCTTGATTTCGTGTTCGCAGATTATTTTCTGAAATTTTCACTTCTGTCAACAAATAACAACAAAATAAATTTGCGGTACCTGAACAATAGGATTAATAAACTTCACACCCCTGTAAGATATCGACAAACAAATCTCTTCTCCAGGACGGTCTTTAGACTTCATGACTTTCTGAATGGACTTTTTGGTGGAGTCCGTACCTTTAAACTCCTTTATCATTGTCGAACCCAGATACTAAAATTCAATATATAGAATGCAGGACAGTTGCAACGATACTACCTACATTCGCTGAGTATTTGACGCAGCTGGTTATTAGGAGTATAGGCTGGTGCCTCCATTGAGACTTTATAGAGTTGCTGCCTCCCACAAATATTTCTGCTGGCGATTTCTTTTCTGGTTCCACGTTTTTCTTTATAGGTGGGGGAGGCGCAGGTCTGGATTTTTTATGTCTGTGCCTAATCGTTCCTGTGTTACTATTAATTGAATGAGTAGAGGGAGATGGCATCTCTCCTGTCGGTTGGTTACTTTTCTAAAAAAATTGTTAGTTGAGCACACTAATGATATGAAATGATATTACGTTCAACCCGCAAATATCTAGAGTTTTTAATGATTAGTTTACGGCATGTTTTTTATTTTCCATTGTTTAGGATATTCTTTGTTATCCATGTTAAAATAAATATAATTTCTAACCGTACACTAGCAGACTTCTTAATGGATTTTATCTTGTCGGATCAAATTTGGAGAATCTAAAGGGCTGATTCCATCGGATAGAGAGTACGATCCACTCACCCAATACCGTAGATATATCCTGGACTTCCAGAATCCGTTTTGTAACTATACAGTGCTTATTGGATACTAGAAACTCCCTACTCTCGGAAACTCCAAAGTCTACTAGTTTACACTTAGTGGATTTCACTATAGATGCGGTTGTTTTCTGCAAAGGAGTCCCATCTGTCATCATAGTCTACCTGAAATCTCTGAAGGCAGTTTCGAATAATTTGTGGAAATAGATTTTCTTATACACACGCAAAGGCTGTCGGAGCATCAGGCAAAGGCAGTAGAGTAGTTTATAGTTAATCCTTTTCCTTTTGTATCCATTTCGTTTGTCTTCGAACAACAACCAATACAGAGCAATTATCTTCATATTTTTTTCCTTCATATTAGAAGACTAAAGGCAGTACACAAAAGGAAAACGATAAACTAAAAATCGATTTATTGGTTTACATCAGCCAGAGTAAATTTTCTTGACTCATTAAGAACTACCTTCTAAGATTTGAGACATATCATGATTCCTAACAGGACTCTTTTTTATGGCCGCATCTAAAGAGATGCCAACTGAATGAAAAGTTGTACCATATTTTAGGGCTTTTGGGGAGCAGGGGGTTTCTGCCATCCATTAAAAACTGCAAGGTTACTGAACTGATTTTGTTTTCGTACATATGTCTAGACCATGCCTAGCGCATTCGGTACATGACCAAATGAAAGCTCGCGTCAGTAACTTGCCTGTTGAGTACGTGGATCTGGCTGTCTTCGCGTTTTTAATTCGTAGTTTGAGTTTGTGACTTGAATCAGCGAAATGTAGAATTTTAACCGGTTTTTAGGTGCTGGTAGTAGTTTTCTGTGGTTCCTTACAGAAAGGGTTCCAAGGGTTGAGGTAGAGGCGGGATTTTTAGATTATAAGAATGGGTTTTTAGTATTTTTGAAGTCCTGAGGGATTGCAAAGAATGGATAACCAAAATATGCAATGAGCCACGAATAAGATGCGTTGATTTGTCTTCAAGTATATGCCCAAATAGAAACCTACCGAAAGCAGAGTTTTGAATGCTTTTTGGGATTAAGTGGTGATTATTGGCAATTAAAAAATATGGCGGGTGATAGAGCATTTCCCACGGAAGATTCGGTTTCTTGGGATCAAGATTCATATGGAGACATACCAATTTTGTCTGCTTGCTTGTGTTATCAAGTTAAGGCAGTTCCTTTGAACTTTTAGACAAGCTTAAATGACGGTTAGATGTAGAAGAAATAAGAGTAACTATAAAGCAGAGAACATCGCCGTCCGTTCTGGGCTGAGCTGATCGCGGTTCTATAGAACCGTTTAGTCACGTTTGGCAATTGCACACAATTCTGCTCGCGCTCTCCTTTAAATAGTTGCGGTATTATTTTAGTAGTGAGTAAGAAAATGAGTTCTATGGAAGAGGAAGCTCGTCTCGATCGTATCGCGGTCTCCAGAGATTCTTTGGAAAAGATCGGAAGAGAACGCGATGCGAGCGAGACGAGCTCGGGAACGTCTAGTGTGAATGCATACATTATAAAACATGGGAAGGAATTCCACCGCGCGCGATCGAGACTAACACGGTCCGCGATGCAACGGGACCGCGACCGCAAAATGCGTTTTCTTCTTAACTTGATGCAATTGCTTGTGATACTATGTGGTCTAAAAGGGAAGGTGTATAAAAATGATTTAGAATTGGAACCTGGATATTGTAGCAATATTTCTTATTAGGTGCCCACAGACCAAGTAACATTTGGAGAATCTGATACGTCGCCGACCACGTCTGTCATTTTGACACATATGTTAGTAGTGTATTTTACCTACCGAATATGTAACTTGGTAGGTAAAATATTCGACTCGTGAAGGAGCAAGATCTTTTTCTTGCCATCATACAAGTATACCTATTAACTAGTGGATAAATATCGGATCTGAACCCCCTGAAGAGATTCACCAACTAATCCGACGGACTTGACCTTCAAGTATAGCTCGTTCAGACACTATAATTTGTTGCGGGCTTATTCGAGCAATGATAAAATTCTTTAAATAATCTGCTGATGTACGGACAGCCAATATTAACTTACCAGTAAGTTAGCTTCTATACTGATTTCTTCCAGTTTTGGTCCGGCTACAATATGCTCGCCGCTACTAACGCTCGCTAATATCCTTTTCCGATGCCCTATTTTTTCTATATCTAATACAGCAGACAGTTCAACGTCCCAAATCCTTTTTACCCGTTCCATATCATGATACAAATGTTTAGCGAAAGTATCATAGTATTGATCGAGATTGATCTTTTTTAACCACAATTTAACCGTGTTTTGTTCATTATTGTTGTTGCAAACATTAGGTAGTTGATCGTTAATTTTCAGTGGCAGTTGCTTTATTGCATCTAAGATTATTTGACGTTCCAACTCGCTAGCGATGCCCATGTCCTTCAAGTCGTTTTCTTCTATCACTCCGTTCTAGAAATTAACGGTTATATGGCTACGTTATCGTACACAAATAGGAATTACTATTAGAGTTCATTGTACGTAATTAACACAGGTAATAGAGTTTAAGCGTTTAAGAATTACACTATCCATTTGTGACGGCTTAAGAGAAATGGATGGCTACTGCAAAACCAAAAATGAAGTAATCAACATTCGATATTGAACAATAAGAGGCATATGCAGAGAGGCTAGAAGCAGAATCTACATAACAGATTTTGACACATCCAAAGAAGAACATCTAGAAAAAATTACGAAAATTAAGATTCTTGATGTGTATTTACAAGCAAATATATCGCGATCAGATTATGACGGTTTTTAGGGCCGAATTCTTGACACATGCACCGATTGACGTGAAATTTTAACAGTAAGTAGAAAATTACTCAAGAAACAAAAGTTACATAGTGCCGATGTGTGCTTTCACCCTGAGGGCGAATGCCACCCCTACTCGAGGGTGACATTCACAAAAAATGCTCTATAACGTTTTTTCCAAGAATTAATATTTTTCGAGTTATTTGCGATTGAAAATGTTAATTTTCCATAAAAAGTGAATGTTTTTCCACCATTTTTCATAAATACCGTAGATGTAATAATAACCGAGTTATCACTCTCTAAGAATATAACTTGTTTTAAAGTGCTTGTAAAGACCTTTACAATGCTTTTTGAAAAAATTTCGTAGCTCAAAGACTCGCGGAGTTATGATGAAAATAAAACGGTCATCTAATTTTTTCGAAGAAAAAATCAACAATAAAATCTATGGCTGAACCATAAAAATAGAAACTAAGCGGCGCAATCCATGTACAGTTGACTTTATTTAGGTACTAATTTAGGTACTAATAACAGGCTCTACAAGTTTGATCGGTTTAGAATGCCTAAATTTTAAAAAAAGTTTGAAATAATGAAAAAAAAAATTTTAATTTAAAAAAAAAATTCCTTTTTTTTCGAAATAACTCAAAAACTATATGTGAAAAATGCAAGAGTTCAAAATTAAAGGTCTTTTTTTATAATATTTTTGCATTTTCCCTTTCACTAATTACATAATTTAAGTTTCGAGTTCTAAGTTCTAATCTCGATGAATTTAGTAATGTATCGTTGAGTGTTTTGAAGCAGGTAAAAATTCTTCAATTCCTCATTAAGAGTTGTTTTTAAGGGTTGAAACGTTGCAATGAATCATCAGTAATATTATAAACAGTGATGAGTCTCATTCATTATAAATGCTATGAATATGAGAAAAAAAATGTTTGCTTTATTTTCTGCATTAAGGGTGGTTTAAGGGTTGAAACGTTGCAATAAATCATGTAATATTTTATAAACAGTAAAAAATATTAAATTCTTCATTATTGCACCGTCAAAACATTTCAGAGCCGCGAAAACTAATTTTTGTTTTTTTTCCCTCATAAAAGATGGATTTTAAGGGTTGAAATGTTGCTACAAATAAAAAATTATTATTCAAAACATAAAAGAATGCTTATTCTATTGACATAACACTTAAATCTATGGTTTTTACGTTTTTTGCAAGAAGGGGTAGTTTTCACCCCCTAAAAACGTGTGCGTGTGTCAAGAATTCGGAAGTAATACCCTATTTTTACCGTTGTATATTGGACTAAAAAAGACGAAAAGGAGAAATATAGTGCAATTTTATCTGACAAATCCAAGAGGCCATTTTTAACGCCAATACGTTTTGTCTCTGACAGGATTCGTGTCTCCTATCCGGATTGCATAAGAAAACAGTAAAATTATTCAATCATTAAGGAGCACAGTGAAAAATGAACTGTTGCAATAAAAACTTGATTCCGCATTCGAAAAGATTTCTTTGATGGTGTGGCGTGGTATTTATCAAATTTTAAACACTCTGTATAACAACTGGCTAACGACCTATAAATCAAATTTCAAGATTGGCGGCGGCGGAATAACATCGTCGTTTACAAATCATGTGCAGATGATAATTTAGTTAAAATGAAGGACTTACCAGAAAATTTACGTCGTCAAATCCAGAATTCATAAACAACCCGACGTAATCGCCCATCCCCAACCCCTGAAGCCATTTTTCAACCGTAGCCACGGACTCGGAATTATTCAAACTGCTTTGCGAACAACTTATGGTCATTAGTCTACTTTGGAATTCCTTCTCGAGTTCCGCCACAAAAACGGATTCCCTTACGATGCCAGTACCGAACGACGCCATTATTTCCTGAATTTTAGCCCATTCCTCTTGTTCGTCGAACGGGCTCAAGGCCGACACACGCTCTTTATTCTCCTTGTTTTCGGATTCCTTCTCGGAGCTCGAGGATATTTCGTTATCGCTCTTTAACCCTTCCCCGTTGGTGTGGCCGTACACCCGCTTGAGCTTTTTTAACGTTTTTGGGCGTTCGGCGGGAGTGTTTGAGTTTATGCTCTCGAGAACTTTGGTCGAGGAACCCTTAATAAGGCCTACAAACATTGAAAACACTCTTTTACGAGCCTTACTCCCTAAAAAATAGTGAGTAGATGATTTCCTATTTCGTTTGGAAAAAAAGAACACATTAAAAAACGCCACTTTAAGATTATTAAAATTAACGCAATAAACTAACGAAAATAGAAAACTAAGGCTTCAAAAAATTAATAAATAGTCATGAAATGAGATGTAAGTGAGTAAAGTACGAAAAAATTAGACATGGAGATCGTTAATGTAATTTTTATGTATGTTGCTTTATGGCGAACTGTACCTACTGAAATGAGAGAGTGGGGCACCCTAGGGCATTATGAATGGACTACTTAAAGAAGTCCTGGTTAAAATTGGGAATACACAGGCTGTTACAAATTCGCTTCTCACTACAGGGATCTCGGAAACGGTAAGAGCTACGAAGTAGCTTAAATGGGGGCAAAGTTGCGTAATCGGGGGACCAACAATATGCCTCTAAAAAATCAATCCTAACATGATTAGTTTTCGAAATATTTGAAAAAAACCGAAATTTTTGAAATCCGTTTTTGTTTAATTTCAGCCTTGTTTGAGGAGATATTTATAAATGAAGAACACTTTCTCATGGCCACTTTTTGCCCTCTATCGAATGGCATAATCAATTTTTATATGTAACATTTTGTCTCTCCGGGACCATCATCAACTTCATTTTTTTAAATACGACCCTGGAAATTTTATTACATTTTTTGCAAACCTTCATGACCCCCAATACTGTACTGCCTCAGCCCTAACCAGATTCAGACGTTTTGTCTCGAAAAATTCATCTTCAGTCTATTCGTTCCAAATTTATCTAAATTTTTCATATAGATTTCTTTGTTTATTGAATTATCGTACACTGTAAGTGTCGTTAGACCCTGAGAAATCCATCTAGTTATTTAAACTATTACCACCACGCCCTACAATAGAACATTTATTATTATTAACTATTACCATCACTAGGTCATATAACATATATCATATAACTCAATAAGTTGTTGCGTCAAAATTAAAACATTGTTACCACTTTAATTTTATTGACAAATTAATTCTTAAAAATGCATATGAACAACCAAAACGCCAACTGAATATTATTCTTTAAAAAATTTCAGTAAATGTTCAAAAACATTTTCGTTTTGGCAAAGGTTAAAAATGAAGATCAGCATAATATTATCGGAATTTATTATATCTGTAACTGCAACTGTGAAAGAGCATATCAGATGTATTTGTATGAATATCCTGAAAAAAATAGATCGGAATTTGTTTGAATTTTGAGCATTTGAGAAGCCTAGAAATAACTATGGACAGGGGAATAAAACTATAATAATGTTTTATTTTAATGCGTGGTGATAATAGTTTGAATAACTAGATGGATTTCACAAGGTCTAACGACACTTATAGTCTACGATAATTCAATAAACAAAGAAATCTAAATGAAAAATTTAGATAAATTTGGAACGAATACACTGAATATGAATTTTTCGAGACAAAACGTCTGAATCTGGTTAGGGCTGAGGCAGTATAGTATTGCAAAAAATGTAATAAAATTTCCATGGTCGTATTTAAAAAAATGAAGTTGATGACGGTCCTGAAGAGACGAAACGTTACATATAAAAATTGATTATGCCATTCGATAGAGGGACAGTGGCCATAAGAAAGTGTTCTTCTTTTTTCAATATCTCCTCAAACAAGGCTGAAATTAAACAAAAACGGATTTCCAAAATTTCGGTGTTTTCCAAATATTTCGAAAACTAATCATGTTAGCCTTGATTTTTTCGTACCTCTTACCATTTCCGAGATCCCTGTAGTGAGAAGCGAATTTGTAAGAGGCTGTAAAGTGATATTGTTTAATATTCATTAAAACTTATTTTAGCTGTAGTTTTTTAATCAATTGTGAAAATTAATTAATTTTTGATATACACCATATACCCTTGAAGTTAGATTTCCAAAATTCCAGTACCGCATTAGAAAAATTCCTATTTTTTTGTGAATCTCCCAAAAGCGCAATGTATATTTTTATTCTATTATTTCATATACTGTATTGAAAGGACATGAACATCATACATTCGATTTTATGCAAGTTACAAAAATAAAATACCTAGACTTTAATGTTAAATTTTGTCACTTGTTCGTTGTGAAAATTCCCTTGAATATTTATATACAATTTCATATAGGATATTGAAAACATATATGGACCACTCAAAAAAACATGCATTTGGTTGATTGTTGTGATCGTACTTTATTCAAATTCTGAATAATGAAATTGTGATAAATTTTTTAATTATTGGTCCTAAGAGGACAGTTAAATTTAATGTTTTTCATATTCCTGTTCTTTACTGAAGTCCAGGCGGTAGAGCATTCGAGGCGTTTGTATTTGAAGTCATCAATTTTGTTGTACAGAAAAATCCCAAATATTATGTAGAATAAGAATCCGAGTTTGCCTATTCCAAAAAACCATTGCTAAATTCAGGGGAACAGCAAACATAGAAAAAGAACGAAAAATTACCCGTTTTTCGACATATTTTTTAATGTAAGCCCTAAATAAAAAAAAGTCATTCTTTATTTCTTGTTTATTTTACGAGTTTCTATAAAGTTACAACAACTGCGAATGAAAAAAAGTTGAATTTTGCAATGGGCGAAAAATAGTAGAAAATCATATGTACAGGGTGTCCCGAAATTCATGCAACAAAATTTGGTCACAGATTCTTAAGACAAATTTAGGGGACCCGTATTTTTTGTTTTTGCCAGTTGGCCCCATCTTTCGGAGTTACAGCCCTCTGAAATCCGCCCCTAAGAATAATATTTTTTTATATGTCAGAACCCTGTTGTACGGGAATTACTAAATTGGGTACACAGGGATTTTATGACATGTGGAATCTGATGGTGCTACGGTTTTTGGCGGAGAAGACAATTTTCCGTGGGCCCCCTTGTCTTTGGAGCCAAAAAAATTTGGTCGCACATTTAAATTTCCTAAAAATTATTAGTCCACTAGAAAGGCATTAAATTTAGAAACTTTTTGTCTCTTTATACTTTTTTCGTAAAACGCAAAGTTTTCGAGAAAAATATCAAAATGTGATCGAATGCATATCGTCATTCGCCATTTTCCTCAAAAACATTGCGTTTTACGAAACAAATATCAAGATACAAAAAAGTTTCTAAATTCAATGGCTTTCTAGCTAACAATAATTAAAAAAAATCAAATTTGTGACCAAATTTTTCTGGTTCCAAAGACAAGGGGGTAAAAAATTGTACACTAAACATTTGGGAGATTCCAAGAGAAAACAAATTTTTCCAATGTGGTGCAGGAATTATGAAATTCTGACTTGGAGTGCACATCAAATATAAATTAGCTCTCACAACTTATTCGAAAGCTGTGTATTTAAAAGAAATTTTGGCGAAAATTTAAATATCCTCATATATTTCCAAATACTGACCAACGACTTTTTAAAGTAGTCACTCTGTCATTACAGTATGTAATTTTTTCTCAGAAGGTTTTCATTGTGCGATGCGAAATACTGAACATGTAGACTTCAAACTTGTTTAAGAGTTCAAAAATCATGGCAATGTTAGGTTAAACTAACAGCGGAACGTTCGACAAAGAACATGCAATTTCCACCTTGCCACCGAACAGAGTACATATCTAAAGAGGAGAACATTCTACCACGGGACAAAAAGATAGAAAAACCCAATAAGAAATTTGAGAAAGTGCATCTAACATCCACAAGGAACTGGATAGGGAATTTATTCAAGGACATCCCGACCCTACTGATACAGCTGGGCAATAACCTTGCAAACATCCAGAAGCAAAACGTAACACTTCGACCAATAGTAGGTGCAGCTGATTAACAACGCATCCGCTGCCATATACGTAGCATACCAAATTAAAGATCTAGTGGGAAAAATGGATATGGTAATATCAGAAACACAGGAGAAGAACCCTTCGCGAAGAAAGTTTTGGAGTCAGCAACTTGAAGAACAGGTTCAGATATATTGACAATACATTAAACCTAACCCATATGAATGGAATACATTTGCATGAGCTTCGCTATGGACATGGGGGAAAATGGCACTTTAGGACACAACATTTATCTGACCTGAACCTTATCACTACCCATATTGTCAGTTCATTAGTAGACGCGCCATCTGCGAGTGAAAATTGGACGAGGAATACAGCATTTACGATCTGCTTTTAGAGGAAATGAGCGACAATCAGGACAGCACAGAAAAAGGAACAGGAGGAATATCTAGCAAAGACTTGTCTGTTTCATATACAAAGGATGTACTGACCAGATATGTCGCATCTTAAGGAAACGCAAAATTAATATTATCTACACCTCAAGAAGGGTAGGGACAGCCTTTCCCAAGAAAAGCTGCATGAACGTCCAACTCCAAGGATCCGTTGTATACAGTCTTCTGTGTACATGTAGAAAAGTTGAAATTGAAAGATAAGTTAGCATGATGTTAAAGGAAGTGTCGTATGAAAAATAATAAAGTGGAAACATCAGCAATTGAGGAGAACATGGCAGAGACAGAACAAACGATGGACCTATTATTAATAGAGAAGAGGAGTTAATATTTAAAATCGACTTATTCACAAAAATCAAGGACTGAAACGACAAAGCAGTGACTACAAACTACTAATTTCCAATCTCAGATATTCTCCTGAAGAGAGAACGATGTCTCGCGGAGCGTCAAGAAATCTAAACCGACCAAGTGGGTTTAGACCAGTGGGATCAGCCCCGAAATTGTTCCACCAATGACTACTGCTATAGAAGCCTACAAACCAAGCTGTAATATAACAAGTTTTGAAATCTACATCATCAATAGTTCCATTATTTTTACTATAATTATGATTTGAAAACCAACAAGTAATTATAATTATTACACACAAACCTGAGAATGGAGCATCTGAATGGTACTCTTCTAAAATATTGTCTATGCTCCTGTCAGAGAGCGATACGCTGCTCGAAAAACTACCGCTCGATTCATCACAAATCAGAAGATATTCTTCTTCCGTTTCGGTTTCCATATCCTTCGACCTCCTTTTATACTCCTAGTGGATCCACGAAGAAAGTTTACATTTAACTTATTATCATGCAACCATGCTTGTTTTTTTTTTTAAATAAAATGCAAATGGTAAACTAGGGATAACTAACTGGGTGATGGTGGAAAAAATGGAAAGGTAGGTACTAAAAAGCAAGACAGCTACAGATGTAACCTTTATAAAAGACGTTTTTTGTGATGCTCCTACATCTTAAAGCAAAATGCATCTTTGAAGCGACATTGAGTTTAACAGTAAGTTTAAATAAAAAGAATGTGTGATGTAGTAGAAATGAGTGCTAGAACGTAAGTATTGTCTCTTAAGGCAATACATTTTTTTAATTGCTATACGGGAAAGTTTTAAACAAACTTTAAGGATTGATTGGAAAGTTAGCAGCATAGTTTCAATTCGCCTTGAGCTGTTCTCCCTAAGTCGTCCTTTAAAGCAACATTTCAATTTACTAAGTATGCCACCTAACTTTTTAGTCTACACACCACTGACTTACATACATATAACAATTACATCTAGGAAAATTATTTTCTTCTTAAATATTTCTCTTTTAATATAATTTTTCAGAAATGTTTTGTTAGGTAGTTGACTTTTTCAAGATCAGTAATAAAAAAAAAAACGATGAATTTAACAAAAAGAGCCAAGAGGCCAATTTCAGCAGTTCTTCAAATCTTGTAGATAACATTTTAATTCGATTCCCATACGCCATATTGCTAATGCCTCTATGCTGCTGCTTCTCCTTAACAATTTTCTCATCCAAATATATTTTCGTCTTCTTATTTTTTATTAACGTAATATGTAAAACTGAATATAAAATAGAAACACGAAAAGCAGTGCGAACAATGATATTATTCGCCATTTTGAACAGCATTTTTATTCGATTAACTCTCATGAAGTAATCTACACTGTAGTGCCAAAAAAGTAGCCAATACCTCATTCTCAACATGTGGACACTTGCGACGGGTAAGGAGTAGGGGGAATCCGATTCCATGGGCGTATCATTATAGAAGATTCCAAGAATTGTTAAATATAGAACAGACATGTCGATTCTGATAAAAACTAAATTATTGTTACAAATATACACTCTCTTTGGTATATCCAACTGGTATGTAGGTACTTTTTTATTTATACGTATGTACCTATTGAGAAATTTTGACCTGTACACTAGAAAGATGACCTACTACCACTTGTGTACACTTTTCTNTTATATTATTACATTATCCATAACAATCTCTCCATCAGGTTCGATGTTAGATAGAATAATGTCTATTCTCATGGCAATCTCCTGTTCATCACCACTCGAACACATGTAAACCAATATATTCAAAAATCGGCATTAAATTCCTGTGAGTAACTATTAATTGCCATCCTCTCCCAGAGGACTTTCAAATCCGTAGAAAATCCTTCTAAAAATGCTATTGTGATATTTAAATTTTGCTTATTTAACGTTGGAGACCGACATATCGGCGTTTCGTGCTCGAATTTATTTGTACACATCACATAACGTTCTCGTTCTCTTAAATTCGGTTGTTTACGATTACCATAATTATCAGATTGACTGCTAGCATCCACGCATAATTCCATTTTTAACACTTATTGGAATAACTAAAATGTGAAAATGTCTTTTCCACTTTTACCCTTATGACAAGCATTGACACGCCTTAGTTGGGAACTAAGACAAAGCTAGATTTCGAAAAGTCAAATCATACAGCCTCAATCGCCTCTCCTTTTGTACACGATAAACAAAGATAGAAATAAGCTGAAATTCGTTAATTTAAAACTGAACTTCCACGAATATTTTTTACGCACAGAAAACTGCCTTTTATACATCATTTGAAATATCTTTATACAAGGTGATTCACAACTTATCCAAAAAAATTTGGGAACAGATGTTGCATGAGAAATAGAATCAATCAATATTGTAAAAATTTTTTTTTGTAAAATCCTTATAGTTTCCGCGAAAAAATGATTGAAGTTGTACTTCTTTCAAGCATTACATCGCTCGTAGCCTCAGCGACTCCCATTACAATAGTCGTTGCAGTAGTGTTTACAATAGTTTTTTAGTAGCTAATTAGTTGTCAAAAATGGCTTGCGTGCATAGCAACTCAGATAGGATGATTTATAATGAAGCAAGACATTAGTATTATGGTGAAACACGTGTGTTATGGTGAAGCAGAACAACATTTGTTAGTTCGTAGAAACTGAATAAGGCAGGACCAAATGTGTTTACAGGCCGTTGGACAAAATTTTTAACAGTTGTATAGTTGTTACGATCTTAATTGGAACCGCATAAAAACATTTATAATACCATATAATTACCATACGACTGTCAAGTTTTTATGTTTAAAATTGCATTGTAATAAAGCATGTCGTAAAATATCTAAAGATTTATAATTATTATAATCAGGATGATCGTTTAATTTACCTCGAATCGTGTTTAAAGTAGGAATTTTATTTTCTTTATACATATCATAAATTGTGCGCCGCATGACATCTGGTAAAATCGTCAATTTGTATTTTCCGTTTCCTCTTTGTACCGTGATCAATCCTTCTTTAGTTACGCGATATATTGACCTTTTTGATATATTAGTTAGTTCGTTAATCCGTTTCCTAACTTTTTTATCACATTGTTCACTATTTTCAATTTTCAAACATTCATATATATTTAATATAATACGTTGACTTTTTACGTGTAAATCTTTGTTTTTAAACTCTAAGTTTGTTTCGATACTTTTGACAAAATCCGGTTCCACTATTTGAGGTTTTTCCCGAGTTATTTCATTATTCTCCGCTTCAAAGAGTCTTCAGAGAGCCACGCTAAATTACTAGATATTTACATATAACATTTATTTTAATAATTATCACCCTTTACTGGTTACGATATGAACAAATAATAATATCAACTAATAAATAATAATACGTATTATACCAACAACATACCCCGCCAAGCAATGCGCTACACTGCACTGGCAGAGCTAAGTGAACCCGTGTACCATACAAAAAAATAATTTACGACCTAGTGGACCAATACAGGTTTGCTTTGATGACCAGCGCATCGCCGTCAATTCTACATCAGGCGGACTAATTTACCAATACCGGACTCACCGAATTGCTATTCGAGTATAAATTACGAGACACATCATGGTCAAAGCATAGGAAGAAATTTCAGGAGAAGTGAACATCAGATATGGCAAATTATTTTATTAATTAAAACCACAAATTAATTTTATTAATTAACAATAATAGCGGCAAAAGCAGTTGAATTTGCTGATATAAAATAGGTGCTATAAAATTCTACTTATTTCCTTTCCGTTAGCTTTTATCGCTGTCGCCGTGACGGTCGCATTGTGCGAGGTCAGGTTTTACACTGGACCAGTTTCCAGTGTCGCACAGATCATTTTCGAACTGCCCTTTTTGATTTTTTCTTTACAAAATTGTATTTGTAGGAGTCTCCTGTACATCCAGAATTTTTTATTTTTTTTTGATAAGTTCTGAATCACCCTGTATAAATAAAGTAAAAGTAGAATGACAATGAATGTGTAGACAAGATATGACCTATAATGTAATTTTTATAATAGCAATGGCAGTGGCGTACTCAAGGCGTACCAAGGGATAATAGGCTCCCATTAGCTTTGGACATATTCATTGCTTTTGCAATATTCTTACTTATTTTTCAGTTGATTTGTATGTTTTCTGCCCCTATTATATATTTTTCTTTTAACTGTCACATTAATAAAAATATTCTCTGATTATATGTATTCCTTGTGAGATCTATTTCACAAAACAAACCATATAATTTTGTTCAAAGCACTCTCACGAGCTCACAATGATAAAATCAATTTTGAGAATTCAGCTATATATTTTATATTAATATCTTACCTTTCAATAAAATTGGTTTTCAAAACAAAATAAAAATAATGGAAAGCCTGCCGGATATCCACAATGACTTTGTGATGGCAATCATTTACAGCCTCGCGAAACTGAATGTGGCAAAACAACCAGCAATTGGGTGAATAACAAAAGGAGCGTGATGTGTAATATAAGCTTTATTAAATAATACATAACAATTACATAAAATACTAAAAACATAAACGTAAAACAATAAAAGTAATGTAAACATAAAATATGGCTTGCTAAACACATACAGTACATTTAGGTTAGGTACGTAAATATACAGCACTGAAACAATACTGCCAATAATAATAATTAAAAATAAAATGGAAATTATGTTAATTGCTTCTCGCACGACACGGTTAATATGAAAATATCGGGTTAAATATAGGCAAGTCCAAAATATACCTATGTAACATACTTGTTATATACATTACATGTAAGTTTAATATTTTTGATGGTACCTATCTATACTTGATTATAATTAGATACAATTTTGTTGAACATTTGCTGCCAATGATGTAACTGGAGGAAATTCCTTTTGCATATTTTGAGCCAAGAACATACATAGGGTGTTAATAAACTTATGTCAAAAATTTAAAGGGGTGAAAAAGGAGAAAAAGTTAACTGATGTCACAAACTTATATCGGAAGTTTAAGGTCGTAGAGAAAAAGGCTAATTAAAAATGTGTTTAAAACTGTTTTGGAACTGCTGAAATACATGTATTTTATCGCGGCGGCGGCGAATACTTACAAAAAATTATGTAACACTTTTCACGAGTTTGTAGGTTTCTTATGAAGCTGGACTGTATTCGAATGTCAGTTTGTAATACATTGTTGTAGTAATTGCTGTGCTGTGTTTCAAGTCCATTTAATAGCCCCATTTCCAAGTGCTCTTTTGAAAATGGCGCATTTAGTTAGCAATCGCGAATATTATATGCTAAACGAGAGCGAATTGGATACGTCACGCTGAAGCTTGTTTGCAAGCAAATGGTGGTTACATCGAACATCTATGAAAATTAGCAGTTCTCAAAAGGTGGCTCCTTACAATGTTGAGGTAAGTCACATTTTAAAATTACATTTTACTCAACACAAATCCGTGTATTTACCTTATTTTGACATAACGGACATGTGACAAAAATATTTGACTAAGTTCATTAACACCCTGTATTTTGAAGTGCCATTGACACCAAATCTATATGAAGGCGACACAATCTTTGGAAAACATACACAAAGTGTAGGATGAAGGTCTCAGCAAATGTCAGTCCCATATCTTTAAATTCAATGTGACAAATGCATTTTTGTAATTCCCGTGAGTCGCTCAAGGATAGTGACACTGACTTTGTTACTCCTGAAATTTCTTCCATGAATAAATTGATGTAAAAATGGATGAGCAAATTCCTTCTGTCTGCCTTTGGCGGATTTCAGTAGCTGATTATAAGACAATAAAAAAAAATTATCTGACAAGTCTGTGCTGCGTGAAATCTAATTTGATAGCAATAGAAACAAAAAACGATAGGAAACCAAATATACAGTTTGTTCCAACCCATATGTACTAATAACTAATTTGTACGTTTATAAAATAAATGAGCAATTAATAATATTTCCTTTAAGACTCGTCACTTAATGGATCAGTATGATTGCAGATGGATAAGTTTTACGGAGGATGATTATTTTCATGTAGTAGAACAACCTAACCAACAAGTTTTATTATCATACTGTCAGGCACGTCTTGAAGTAGCTTAGAGCAAGAGCCAAATCACCATTAACGCACTCTACGAGCTACGAGATCCTCCTTGATTGCTCGTAAGGAAAATGTAATATATGAATTGAGAACCAGAACAAAATTATAAAGAAAAAAACGAATATGAGGGGATCCAGAAAGAAAATCCGTAAGAAGAAAAGTCAATAAAAAACTGTAGTAATACATCCAGTCATTAAAAAAAATTGCGATCCCAATATATTGAACATCAGCAAACAATTCCAATATTAAAATCTCATCAGGCAATCAATTTACGTGAAGTGTTTTTAAGTATCTATATAATAATCTTCCATTGCTGTAAAAATTACATTTTGAAACAACATCTAGTTGATGTCATGACGATACTTGAAAGTCTATTCCATAAATATTTTGGAACTCATCCAAAAAAAAGTTACGAGACCTCAAAAGTATATATTTTAATATTTGGTACCAATACCAATAACAAGACTGTCATGAAAATTTATAAAGAAACCAACTCCTTAACGAAATAAAACATATCTTTAACTGTTAATAAAAAGCTATTTAAAAGCCCATCGCACGTCCTTGACATCAAAATGTAAATTACAAGTACATTCCTCAAAAGTGTCTGGTATGCAGCAGAAGCAATGAGCATATCAATCAGTTCTTTACATTTAGCATGCTTAGTGCTGAACAATTTATACACTAATACTGGGACTTACAAAATATTTCATGCCTTATCATGAGCTCACCTGACTGAGTGGACGTATTTTCTCGTAAATAATACTTTCAGCTTGCATTGCGGAGGGAGGAGGATGCTCTGGGGTGGGTGGTTGGTTGTAATGAGTAGGGGAGAGTGGAATGTTGTCGGTAGTTAGCTTTTTGGAGTCGAATTTTATGGTGTTGGTTTTATCTTCGTGGTCCGATACCATGATGAACGCGTTTGACACGAACGTGGTTTCGGGAGCGGATGAACTGGCGACGGGCTCAACTTTTCCTTTTCTTCTGAAGTCGTATTCTTCGTACACCTCGGGATTCCTCCTTAATTTCCTCCTGGGATTCTGCTGCTTTATCAGGATGTTCTCGTATACGGAAGTGATCGCGATGGGCTCCTGCTTCTTCCTGCTATCTAAATCCTCGCTTTTGCCCCTCTGCAACTCGCTTCTAGGTCTTTCCGGAGGCTCGTCGTCGAGGGCGATGTTGAATACGTTCATCTCCACGTACTGATCCATGCTGCGACCATGGGTAAGCCGTTCCCGACGGTTCTCCTTGTCGAAGTCATTTAAATTGCCCTGACTCCTGGTGCCGCTGTGGGCCAGAAATAGGTACTCGTAGGCGCTGTTGCTAACGCCGTCTACCGATATCGACATTGGCTGAGCGTGCGTGGGTGATATGGATATGTTTCTTCTTGGGGGCTTTTTTGGCGGCGTCGGCTGCAGCAAAAATTCAGGTATCACTCTCCCGTTTCGAAAGCGAAAAATGCAGATGGTGTTGATTGTGATGAGATCAATGATGATGAAATATGTGATATCCAAATGTTGATGTCCAATGAGTTATGAGTTTATATAGTGCAGACTTCAAGTACACGTTTTCCAGATGTATTTCAGCAAACTATTTAAACATTTATCTCAAAAAACCATTTGAACATTAAAATGAATTCCATTAATATACTTAGGTTCATATAATATAGTTGATAACTGCCGGACACTGATAATAAAAGTTTTTTTGAAAGCAAATTGACAAATTTTAATTTACATTTTCTCAAATTGAACTAATAAAGAATAGAGATAACACCTTCTGAAGTTAAACTGAATCCTGAAGTACTTCTGGAAAATGTGCGGAAATACTATGAAGATGAAACAGAAAATTTATTGAAATATAGAAGAGAAATATGGAACAAAGTATTTATTTGATTATTTTGGAGTAAAACTGGCATTTTGCAATCCAAAACATTAATTTTTGGAGCGCATACTAAAGTTTTAATTAATAATCACCTAACCAAAAAAATGCTCCAATAGGGAAAGTTGAATCACTAAATATGGTCACAGTTTGTCTAATGTTGATTGAAATTAAGTAGAAGAGAGTATATGGCGTTAATTGAACTTCTATTTTTATCACCCAATGAACAAAGTTGACGTATTGACGATGCATTCATAAATAGAAGTAAAATTTTGATAAAAATTATCAAAGGCAGAGGCACGTACATCCTCAGGGAATTCGATGTAATTATGTTAATGCATTATTAATTTCTTCCTATGAAAACAACGTTTTATCAAAATATGAAGGCCAAATGCGTTAGCCAGAAAATATATGACAGCAAATAATGATTTAAATCTGTTTAAAACAGCTTAAGGGTAAATTTTACTACAACTACCATGCCGTTGGCATTACCACCTAGGTTATAAAGCTTCAACGCTTTGTACGTGACGTCACATCAGTGGTGATACGTATGTCAGTTGGCACAGGAGTCAGCTTAAACGATAATATGTATTTTCTAAGGAAAGTTCTACGCCAACAATTTTTTTTTTGACGTAATTAATAATAATATAACCACAGAGACGAACTTAATTTTCATACAAAAATACTTTTTATCAATGAGTTATAGTCCACGGGCCCACGTACAAAGAAGAAAATGATTACCAGCAAGCTATAACTTTGCGTGCAGCTTAAGTTTGACGAGTCTCCCAAGATTTGACTACGAGGAAAATTCAACAGTGGTAAGTTTTCCCGTGATTTTCAGGAAAACATGTCAATCTGGCATAAACATGGAATGTTATGACCAGCACTTTTTTTTTAAGTTTGAATGAAAGATATATATTTTTTAAACTCCCCAAAAAATTTGTCCGACAAAAATTTTGGCATTTTCAGTTTGTCCCCCACCCCAAATATATCGATTTGGTGACATTATGGTTGGTGACTACCAGCAAGCTGATGTCGACTTAACGACAACATGGTTGGTGATAACCAGCAATGTGGTTTTGATTTTTTTCTCTAATAATTGAAATGTATAACACAATAATATACATGTCCTCCAAAAAGATTGGAAAATTTGCCTTAAACATGGGAAAATAACTATTTTTGTGATACCTAATTTTTATTCCGCTATAAAATAATTAATTTTTTAATGAAAAAATAAAGAAGAATAAATAAGAAAATTATCTTGTTAACAGGAGCAACAGAAATTGAAATTCATAAATAATTATGTCTAACTAATTTAATTAATCTCCATCAAAATTATTTCTTTCAAAAAACTTATATGTACATTTTATTTTATAAACTATTGTAACTATTTTATAAAAAATGGTAAATGTACAATGAATGCATAAAATTTTTGCTTGTGTTTTTTTAAATTAAAATTAGCAATCTTGTTTTGACAAACAATTTACACATTTTATTCTTGAAAAACCAATTAAACCAATTTTAAACCAATTTTAAAAATATTATACATTTATCAACGCGTTTATTAAAATATTGTCTTGTAAAGTATAAATCCTTACTGCGAAATGACTTTGCAGCATTTAAAACCTGCTGCCAAAATTCTTAACAGGTGTTTATAGTTTCTCCATAAACAACTGATTTCATATAACCCCAAAAAACAGAAGCCTCGGCATTCCATCTCACATTTATGCACATACAATTTAAATCAAGATGTAATTTTAGGTACGAATAATACTTAATGGACAGTAGCATACAAATGACAGCAATAAGACAAGTGGAATATGTTAATTATTTGATTTTCGTCTAAACTTAAGAACCTTCACCGCTAAATTAATAATAGGTAGGTACTTCATTGTAATTTAATTCAACAACAGTGGAAGTTTCAAAGCCAAGTGTCTCGAAAACGGTGCGAGACAGATAGTTTTATAAAGTGTAGCTTTTTTGTGTAAAAAAAATTGAAAATAATAATTTGATACCAAAAATGAGAAACTTTAAATTATAAAAAAGTTATGTCGTTTTTAACACATTCAATCTACTGCAGCTAGCGCCCTCTATGAACTTTAACCAAAATGTCAACACATTTCAATTCCTCTACTTAAAGAAATCCAAACCTCAAAATTTTGTGAGGATATTTGCATTTGTTAAGGAATAAATGAAAAAAAAACTAAAATAATATTTTACATATAACACCCAGTATCTCTTTAACTCTTAACTTTTGAACTAAGGTAAGTTCGGCTAAATCGCAATATTTTTGCTTCGAGAGTCTACCCATGAATTTTGACCTATTAGCTCGGGACCACCCTGTATAGTACAATTTTTTTGTACTTGTATAAAAAAATAAATTTAAATTAGTCATATTTATTTTGAAATTTGAGAAATTTAAACAAAATTTTTTTATTCATATATTTTTTTATTAAATATAAATTTTTCTTCTACATCATGCGTTAGTATTGAAACCGCAAAATTTTATCATTTAATTTTGTCGGACAAGCAAAAAAAAAACCGATAATTTTGTCGGATAATTAAATTCTCAGATTAATATTGCATATTTTTAAATAATGACGCTTTTGTCCGACAGCTGGTTATCACCAACCATGTTGTCGTTAAGTCGACATCTTCGGGGCGTCGGACTGCAAAAACTTCTCAAGAATTTTGTCGGACAATAAGATATTTTCATTTCAAATCTTATTACCAAACCCTCCCAGAAAAATCAGCTATAACGTCACCAAATCGACATATTTGGGGTGGGGGACAAAGTCAAAATACCAACATTTTTCTCGGACAAATTTTTTGGGGGGTTTAAAAAATATATATCTCATTTAAACTTAAAAAAAAAGTGCTGGTCATAACATTCCATGTTTATGCCAGATTGACATGTTTTCCTGAAAATCACGGGAAAACTTACCACTGTTGAATTTTCCTCGTAGTCAAATCTTGGGAGACTCGTCAAACTTAAGCTGCACGCAAAGTTACAGCTTGCTGGTAATCATTTTTTTCTTTGTACATAAGACTATTATGTTTTATCCGAAGAGATGTCATTAATTTGCATAATGAACTTGTTTATGATGACGAAATCCCAAATACTATTCAAGAAAGGTATTTTCAACAAATTGAATGGGTGGGTGGATAGGTATAATCAATGATTCTGTTTAGTTTGATTGCCACATAATCTCAACGATGGTGCTTATTTGAAATGTATGGTGTGTGAAATATAATGGTGTTCCTGCACATTTATGCCAAAATGTATTTCGTATTTTGTAATGTACTTTCTTAAGAAGTACTTATATACCCGAAAATTAACTGGTGAAGGACACCTACATCTTGGCCACCGAGGTCACCAGATTTAAATCCGTGCGATTATTTTTTTTTGGTCAGCTTTTAAAGGAAATGTATACAAAATACATATTGGAATATGGTCAATTGTAGTGATGTCACTAAATAACAGTATCAGGTGTAAAGCTTTATATTAAAGGTGGTAATGTCATAAATCTTTTACACAAGTTTCTATTGAAAACTTACCGATACTTTGCTGTTGGAACTGGGGCTGTGCCCACCCCGAGGGTTGTTCATGGGAATGTAAAGCGGTACACCGCCACTATCCGGCCGTCTGGGATACCCGCAGCTAGAAGCCGTGGAAGAGATGCTTATTTGGTCAGATTCCCGGCTAGTGCAAAGGTAGTTCATATCCTCCGAATGGATACTGTTATCCATGAACGCTTTAGGCGCGCAAGGTATCTGATAGAGGCTGTTATCCGACTCCCTGGAAGAATCAGAGTTACTATGAGACCCGCAATCGGTGGCGGAGTAGTACGAGGAGTTCGAAGCACTGCTATTTTTGCGTAGGTCTAGCTTTTCTTTGAAATTGAACGTAATGCCGTCCAGCGGAGATATATCTACAGCTGATGATGCAGCAGCGGCTGGTTTCGTGCGTTTGGGGATAGGAAGGCTCTGGTAGGGTTTCGAGTTACGCCTAAAACATGCAGGTGGTGTATACATAAAAATACTAAAATAATAATTAGTGCAAAATTAAAATATAACAAACTAAAGGCTTTTGGTCCACTTTCAAGGTTTCTGAACATGAATAGGCGAATTATATTTTTGTTTTACGAGGGAATTTACTAAATAAAAATTGTTTATTAATATTGTTAGAAATAAAAATATTGTATTTATAGAAAATATCATTTGTAATAATCCTCCTGGTACATAAGTTTTGTTAATTGCCTCGTTATCATCTGTAAATCTGCATCTGCAGTGATACAGGTAGTTTCTGACACTGAATGCAACACCCAAAATTTCAAACCGGATAGCGTATCTATACTACATTCACTTTACATATTCCGATGAAGTAAATAGTGATCATGCGCTTTAAACACATGGCTGCGAAACTATTAGTCGAAAGGGATCGAACGGCATCCCCACCAACGGATGAATATAAAATCAGGTTTTACACCGTACACTAGTTTTAATTTCGTGTCTTGATGTGGTTTTATGTTGTTCTGCACTAATTCAAAATTATTTATATCATTGAAATATGGAAAGCGCAATATAAGGGACAATAACATGTCAAAAGATGATCAGCATAACTTCCCCAATGACTTGAATCTTAAAGAAATCGCATAGTCATGTTTGCAAGGAGGTATTGCCTAGTGATCACGAAGAGTAAATTTACTTCTATATTGGTTTCCATCAAACTTTCAATGTCACTGATATATTTGGATAATCACTTTTAACTTAATATATGTAATTATGCAAATTGTACACTAAAACACCTCATTATTATTGTAATCAAATTCAATTGTACTGCATATTTTATTCATTAATGTGATTTACTTATAACCCCAAATAAATTTATGAATTTCACTAAACAGTTGCACTAATATGGAATTCTTGTTTGTGGGGTGATGAGCGGCAAGGGAGGATAATTGTGGTCCTTCTAGACATCTAGACTGACCATGACCTTAAAAATATTTTGCAATAGAAAAGGATATTTGTGAAATTAGAATATAGCCTTTCTATCAAAGTGTTTAACATAAAAATATTCACGAGCAATTGGTTGCAGTATATGAGGACGAAGCCTCATTGTATTTGAATGCAAGCTTATGGTAAAAATAGTTTCAGTAGGATTGTGAATCCACTGACGGTGATCCAATAAGAGGGAGGCTTTCAGGCTTTAAACCAATCTTTATGTTTGCGGAAAAGTGGAAACAATGGTACCTAAATACCGTCGTCTGAAAACGTTTACTATTGCTAAATCACGAGTAATGATTCAGCAAGGTGGGTTCCAAAATTGTTGATTCCCGAACAAAAATTGCTTTGACATTTGAAATTTCTCCAAATCATTTGAAATCTTTGGAAGCAAATCCTAACTTTTCTCTGAGACATATGAAAGAAATTTTTTAGACCCAGAATTAAAAGATATACGCAAATGATCCAAAAGTATTCTCCGCCTCCAAGAAAAGATCTGTGCGCAATCTTTAGCTGAGAAACTTATGGCCACTGTCTCTTGGGGCGAAGCAGGAATTACTCTTGTTGAATACATGCCAAGCATGCCACAATAATTATTTAAGATTATACACTCGATAATATGATAACAAAATTACGACAGTTACTGACCAGCAACCACAGTACCATCTATCTTCCGCAACTGTAACTTCTCTGAGACAGAACACCCGCCATATAGTCTAGGTTTGATTCCGTTTGACTTCTTTTTATTTATAAATTTGTTGAAAGATAAAATAAAAAATATCGTGTTTCATTGTTCATGATCAAATATTTAAATATTTGTCTTTTTACATGCTGCATCCTAAACCCATAGATCAGTTCTTTTCGAATTATGTGGCAAATGGAAATAGAATTCGTGCTAACAGAAACTGCCTGATCAAATTTCTCATTCGAGAAACATTGCATTGCGGATTCATTTGGGGGCATACCCTATTTAAGGGAACATTGTGTACGTTCATGTTCAGATACCTCAAAACATACAGCCACAAAAAAACGTAAATTACAAAAATGTATACCATGCTTTCATGAAACAAATATATTTCGGCATATGAAAAATCACACAATTCAAAATGCACATTCTTCACGAAATAAAAAAAAATACGGAACCTAGTAAATATTCGTATATACAATATTTTTAAACGTGCCGAAACACATTATCATATGTTAGCAAAGTTGTTAGATACTAGATAGTACAATGTATGATATACGGTCTTAAATTATTTTCAAAATAATTTTCTTGCTAAGGCAGTAATATACTGGATATATTTTGTCATATTTTATACCAGCTAGTATATTTAGATAATAAAGCTAGACTACTGTACAGAAATATTCGTTACATTTTGCCACTGATTATTTTTGAAAACTGAAAAAGCTATATTTCAGTCATGTTATAGTAGCGCAAAGAATATTGCCAAAAACAATGTCATGAAGATTATTGGTAATTTTTAAATTTTTTGAACAGTTTCAGGAAATGCATAATTTTTTTAATGGAACCAATTGCAAAAATAATCAGGTCTGAGGTCAAAATATATGGCTTGTTCTCACAGATGAAACTAATCAGAAGTTGCCAGAACATCGACTTCTCAATAAAAATAAGATATATGTTGCGCCGAACTGTTACGAACAAACCTATTGAATAATACTGTACTGTACGTAATGTGAGTTATGTAAAACAAAAAACAAATGCTTACATTGCTAAATTTGACATCGGTACGTATGTGTCATCATTCTCATTAATGTCTCGTGTTGGTGCATCAAGATGGTTCATGCTAAGAAGTCATGCAAAAATAATAAAATAAAAAATTATGTACATTTAAAACCGACAGTACGTCACTTTTAGACGCATTAAACTTTTTGTAACTAAAATCGTGCTAGTTATCCTTTAGGATAATTGTAAGTTAAAAATAATAAGATTGATTCTTATTTAGTAAGTCGAATTTTAATTTTATTTTGCCTGACTGGCACATAAAAAATATGAATTGTATTTTATAAATACAGGGTATTACACGAAGAAATGTACAAAGTTTAATGACATTTCTTTGGTAAAAATAAGCAAAAATTTGTTTGAATCTCGGTTCAGAAATGCACTATTATCGAGGTATGGCCTATAAATGTTTTGCATTTTTTATATATTTTAAAAACCGTTAATGATAGTTTTTCAAAATTGTATCAATTATATCTACATACAGTACTTACAAAATCGCTCTGGTAAATACAAAATAAAAAAATTATTAACGCACGGAAAAGCTAAATGATAAAAAATAAAATAAAAAATCTTAAAGAAAAATGAGACAGACTAGGTTTACAATCTGATTTTTTCGGAGAACTATAATTCCCGTTGCAATTGTTTCTTATAAAAAGTTTAATCATTACTAAGCAATTTACTCCAAAACCAAAGAAAATGTGAACATTTTACAAAAGTAATTTTGTAAAAATCAAGCATGCATAGGTATCTCGAAAAGAGTTATAATAAGTAAAGAAGTTTTGCTAATGAGGTTGACCCCCATATCTACGACACTGGCAATTGAAAAGCAGAATTATTAGCGTGTTTTTGTAAGTAGCAAACTTGAGTATTAAGGTAACATTTTAGTAACTATCATCACGCATTTAAAAATATATATTTCTTGAAAAAATTTAAGAAAAATACTTTTTTAATTATTTTTTGCCTGAAGAACGTTTCTTTACAGTTTGTGCACTTCCTAGTGGAACACCCTGTATATCAAGGAAATGATTTTAGATGTTATCAAAACATCTTGAGGATGGATTAACAAGATTTTTGTAAATTTGCATTTATTTTAACAGAAAAAATTAAATTAATTTATACTCTCAATTCCTTTTTTTTTTTTTTTTCAAAAGTTGGATTACCATCGAGCAAGAAAACTGAACCCAACAATACAATATTTTTAAAGAGGTACGTACCAAAATGATATAAAAAATGGGATAAACAGGGTGATTCAGAACTTATCCAACAAAAGGAATTCCGGATGTACAGGGCACCCTTACAAATACAATTTTGTAAAGAAAAAATCAAAAAGGGCAGTTCGAAAATGATTTAAAAATACACTTCTGCACGGCACTGGAAACTGGTCCACTGTAAAACCTGACCTCTAACAATGCGACCGGCATGGCGGTGTGATAAAAACGGACAAAAAACTTTCGAAATAAATAAATATAATTTTATAGCATCTATTATACCTATATCGGCAAACTCAACGGCTTTTGCCTTTAATGTTATTATTAATTAATAAAATTAATTTGTGTTTTTAAATAATCATTTGACATACCCGATGTTACAATACAACAACAATTGTTCAAAATTTTATCCATCAACGTGTAAACACATTTGGGTCCGTCTTACTCAGTTTCCACGAACTAACACAAATGTTGTCTTGCTTCACTATAACACAAATGCTTCACCATAATAATACAAATGTTGTCTTGCTTCACCATAAATTAAAACGATATCCATCAACTCCGAGTTGCTATACACGCAAACCATTTTTGACACTAATGACTAAAAAACTATTTAAACACCATAGATAACAGGTAATCACTATCGCAACGACGATTGCAAAATCGGATTTCAGTATTCGGAGTCGCTGAGGCCACGTGGCTCCCATGCGTTTTGCGAATGACGCTAGAGACTACAGTTGTCCAGCTATGTAGTGGTTGAATGAACTATAACTTCAATAATTTTTTCTCGGAAACTATAAGGATTTTACAAAAAAAAAATTTACGATATTGACTCCATTTCTCATGGCACATCTATTCCTAAATTTTTTTGGATAAGTTGTGAATCACCCTGTATATGAAAATAACATAAATCTTAGAATGTGTTTAAGTAGTCGTTAATGTAATTGTAAATAATAATTTTCAAATAACAAAAAGAGTTGTTTGTTTAACAAAAGGAGTATGGTTATGATTACAATTTGATGGTGGACACTTCGAAAACCAATACCAACCTGTTTCCTGTTATAGTTTTTTTAAAATTTACTTATGCCAATAACAGTGTTTAATTTAATATTTATGTTTAATTTATGTTTATTTGTTACTCAAAATCGAGAGTCTTTCTTTGAGATAATCCCTTTTAATTAAAATACTTTTGGAAAACTGTAGTTTCTGTAGTAAAATAATAAACTTAAAATAAAAGTTCAAATACTACACTAGGCACAGAACTTAGGGAATATTAAAAAAATCCCAAAATTTTGGATGATTTTTCAAAGAACTGTACCTTGGAGGGAAATGGTCGTAGAGAGAATAGAAAAAAGCAAATTAATGCTTCAACAGTCTAGTTTTCGGATTTGGAGTTTAAAATTTTTTAGCCTCAGTAGTTTTTGAGTAATCATAAGAAAATCAACGATCAATTTTCTTTAAAAAGGTCTATGGACTTATAATTTTTTTGGGGAATTATACCATAAAGCTCTTTTAGAGAGTTATCGTCGATCAAAGCAAAAAAATAATTTTTGACTTTGGCAATCAACTACTCAGGAAATAATGGTGGTACAGAAAATCCAAGCAGGGTTTTCCAAACTGCAAAGTATTTTCTACAAGTCGTAATTATGGGTTTTTGGTAAAAAAAAATCGAAATGAATATGTTGGTTAGAAAAAAGGTAAAAAATTGCATAATTAGGGATATTTGAATAACTTGGCATAACTTTGCAAATAATAAATAAACTAAGGATATTAACTGTAACTTCTCAACCTCAAAGTGTCCTAAAGAAACACTGGTAATTTCGAAACGCTGCGATTTTTTTCTCTGTGCCCGGAATGTTTAAATTTGTCGTTTTCGGTGAAAATCAATGTAATAAGTAATTTTTTACTTTATATTCGTTTTTTAAGTTAAAAATGTTTTTTAGCAATAATTCATATTTTCTTCATCAAAAAACGTTCATTATTCTAAACAAAATTTAAAAAAAATTGCAAAACGAGAAATTTTCTTCATGCCAACAACGCGGTAACTCTCAATCACCACCTATGAGTCGCGACTTGAACCCCATTGGGAATGTTTAGGACATGCTCGGGCGTTGATGACGACGAGACTATCCGCAATTACAAAATCACCATCACTTGACCCAGGCTCTTTTACAAACTTGGCAACGAAATTACGCAACGAGACATCAGGCGGTGAAAAGTTACAGTCAATATCCATCATTTATTCATTATTTACAAAGATATGCAAAGTTACTCAAATATCTTAATTATGCAATTTTTACCTTTTTTCTAACCGAATTTTTTTTTATCAAAAACCAATAATTACGACTTGTAGAGAATACTTTGTAGTTTTCAAAACCCTGCTTGGATTTTCTGTACGATCATTATTTCCGAATAATTTATTGATTTCCAAAGTCAAACATGATTTTTTTGCTTTGATCGACGATAAATCAGCGACATATCATCGCACAGGTCTCCGGAACCGCTCAAATTGAAGAGAATTAAATTATCTAAAAGAGCGTAAATCTTTTCAAAGAAAAGCAAAAATTTGCAATTTTTTTTTCATTGATTTTTTTATGATTACTCAAAAACTATTGATGCTAAAAAATTTTAAACTCAAGATCCGAAAACTAAACACTTGAAGCTTCAATTTCTGTTTTTTATTCTCTCTACGACCATTTCCCTACAAGTTACAGCTCTTTGAAAATCACCCAAAATTTTGGGATTTTTTTAATATCCCTTCATTTCTGTGCCTAGTGAATTATGCCATTTACTTCATAATCATAGACGTACAAATCTATCGTTCGCCCCCTTCCTGATTTCTACGGCACTGACAAATGTGCAAATTTCCTCGCAGGACACCCCATATTGAGAACTCTTTTCTTATTTTGAGGAACGCCTTGTATTAATATTTGGGACAATACGTAATGCAATTAATTCAGTAAAGAATATTTCGAAATATTTATTACATAGAGATGCCAGAGACTCTGGACACCCTCCTGTCCTCGAAGGCTTCTGGAGGCCGAGCGTGCCTCTGGAAGTCCCATCTTTGCGGCGAGGTGCCCGGCGACGGATCGGTGGTGACCGACCTGGCGTTTTTCGACGAAGGTCTTACGTTTTCGTATGGGCTACCTGTTGGAAAACAGTTCAATGGCGAACCAACTAACAAATATTCCCAAAAAAAAATACCTAAATCCGAGTCTGTGTTTGGCACGGTGGGAAAGGGATGGCTTATACTCTCACCGTCGCTGTCCACCAGAGGGAGTCCCCTCTTGTGACCTGTTTTATGATGAGATAATCTTTGAGCATATACATTTTCTAGGTCAGTTGATCATAGTTTTGAAGAACATTTTTGCCGATACAATTAAAAAATCATAACGCACAATAACAGTCTAACTTTCTCAAAGTTAAAATATAGGATGTTTTCTAAATCTGTGTTTTAACTTGATTAGGATATTCCTAGAAAATTTTGAGCAAAAAAATTAGCCAAAATACAGTTCCGCTTGAAATGAAAATGATATGTATAAAAGTCAAACTGGAAAGACGCTATTAAGAAAAAATGTTTAAAGTTATGTCAGAAATTTAATTTGTGCATAAATTCGGCTCCTCTAAAATAAGAAAACAAAAAACATCCTTGAGTAAAATAAAAATTTATTCTGAAAAAGAAATCGTCATAAAATATTAACTTGTTTATTAACACCTGAATAATTTCCCAGGTAAATTATTTTTGAAAAATGCTAAGGTCATTCTTATAGTAACTTTTGACGAAGAATTCAATGGTGACCTTGGATTTGACCTTGACGTTGACCTTGAAGGTTATTTCAAGGTCACCTCCTTTTTCGACGTCGGCAATCGAAAGAGGGGGAAATTTTACGTCCAAAAACTCTAAGGTCATAAATCAGGGTAAATAATAAATTATTTATAAGTATTTACATACCCTTTTATTTTTATTTGACATATGTTAAACAATTCTTAAAACCTGTTGGGAAGATTTCAGTGATAAAATAAAGGATTATAAGAGCAAATACCTATATTTTTCAGANATTCGGTTACCCTAAAATAAAAAAACATCCTCGAGTAAAATAAAAATTCAATCTGAAAAAGAAATCGTCATATAAAATATTAACTTGTTTATTAACACCTGAACAATTTCCCAGGTAAATTATTTTTGAAAAATGCCAAGGTCATTCTTATAGTAAATTTTGACGAGGAATTCAATGGTGACCTTGGATTTGACCTTTACGATGACCTTGAAAGATATTTCAAGGTCACCTCAATTTTTTTAAATGGAAACTCCCTTTTTCGACGTCGGCAATCGAAAGAGCGAGAAATTTTACGTCCAAAAACTCTAAGGTCATAAATCAGGGTTGACCTTGAAGGACGCATTTGAAGAAAATAGTACAAAGTTCACTTTAGTTATTTTGTTTAATTGCAATTAGTTGTGACCTCAAACTCGACCTTCTGTTGTCCTTCAAGGTCATTTTTTACTGAATCTCATGTGACGTCGGCAATCAAAAGAAGGTTTCATACTTTTACTTTTAGCGTTACCCAGGAACAACGACGTGGACGTAGTAATTTATGTTCCCTTTGGGATGCTTTATTATCGTGAGTCCCGTTGCCTCTCACGTTTGTGGTGTTTCATTATCGTGAAAAAAAAAATTTACCTTAGAATGACCTTGAAGGACACCAAGAAGGTCGAGTTTGAGGTCACCACTAATTGCAATTAAACAAAATAACTAAAGTGAGTTTTGTACTATTTTCATCAACTGCGTTCTTCGGAGATATCCAGCCCTCAAATTTAAATAACCTTTGAATGGCCATCAAGGTCAACCCTGATTTATGACCTTTGAGTTTTTGGACGTAAAATGTCCTGCTCTTTCGATTGCCGACGTCGAAAATGGGGGTTTCCGTTGAAAATGGAGGTGACTTTGAAATAACCTTTAAGATTATCGTCAAGGTCAAAACCAAGGTCACCATTAAAGTCCTCGTCAAAAGTTACTATAAGAGTGACCTTAACATTTTTCAAAAATAATTTACCTGGGAAATTGTTCAGGTGTTTCCAGACTTTTTGGATACCCGGTTTATACATTTGACCAACAACATATTTTAATTATTTATTATATTGATGGTGAATTTCGTTTTATCCCGTTTCAAAATTTCTCCAAAATGCCATGTTGTAATAATATTAGTAAACAAAATATCCTTATTTCTCCCTTTCGCAATTGTAATATGAATGACTAAAACATGGAAGGTGCCTATAATAAATTAAAATTATTTGAATCACACCAAATTCCGCATTGCTGCACTGCACTGCTAGGCCAACTTGACAACTGAATTTATGGTCGGCCAATGCGGCTGTTTGTACCGCGTTTGCCCGCGCCCTCATTCTTCAACTGGGCGACCAGACCTGTATATAGGTATGGCTAAATAAATATGGGAACAAGATTTTCAATTATTTCAATGCCGAGTTGCTGCGTCAGCGACCGAACGTGGGACATATTGGTTCTTCAATTGAGATCGGAAAGACTAACAAGCATTATGCACGTCAACACAATCCTAAATTGTCACTAAGAACAGCCTTGTTCTCAGTTCTGGAAAATACTCATATCTACATGGAAGCCTTCGAGATAAAAGCCTTGGAGACAACAACCCTACATCCGAAGTTTAATACAGATGTACTGGCGATACATGTACCATATCTGGCTTCATAGAGGATTCCTGTACCACATCCAAGGAATACATTCTAACACAATGGAGTTGGAAAATAACGGTACTCTCCTGTTCTTTGATGTCATTGTCAAAACGCAATTGGGTGGTACAATGTTATCAACAAGCCATCAGTAGAACACCAAAGAACAAGGAAAGGAATATCTGACATATAAAAGAGACTGCTCTTTAAAGAAGCGCAATGTTCATATGGATAAATCAAATTCATTTGAGTCGTGAAGGTCGGATGCGCAGTGGCAAAGTGGTGGAATGGGGACCAGAGCCCATATCGTTCAGACTTCGAGTATATTGGTCATAACGCATCGATAACGATTGTTAATCATATTTTAAATCTTACAAGAAAAATTATTTATAAGTATTTATATACCCTTTTATTTTTATTTGACATATGTTAAACAATTATTAAAACCTGTTGGTAAAATAAAGGATTATAAGAGAAAATACCTACATTTTTCAGAAGACTTCACGATAAGCAGGGTAGTAATAAACACGATCTATCTAATCTAACAGATAAATATCTCATTAATAGGATTCCTAATTTGTATCACGTTCATTAATCCTTACTTCTTATGTACACTATTCCTTTACTATGGAGCTCCATTTGTTCAGTTGTATCGTTTACGACACGCATAGGATGAAAAGCCAGTCATTCCTAAGAACGGCTGAAAGAGCGATGTTTGCATACAGCATCCCAACATCTACAATAGGTGGAATATAGGGCATATCCGTATATACCCCGTGCTTGCAAGTTCTAATACCAAAATTCTAGTAGATAGAAAGAGAAATTTTGGCCGAGGTTCTACAGAGAAGCAATAGAAATCCTGAAGAATCCATATAACTTCAACCGAGATGAGGGTCTAGCTAGAGCTAGCCAAAATTTGGAAATAAATCATACGTAAAAATCATATAATATATCGTATAAATATCATATCAAACCAAACACCGGAACGACATAGACTACACAACAAATGTAAATACCGAAAAGACTTAATCCCTAGTTCCAGAGTTCCTTTTGAAGCAGACAGTGATGTTTTTCGAAACGGTAGCTTGCAAATCAATTTATTGTTAAGACATAGATACTTCTTTGTACAGATAAAATACTTTCACATTCAGAATAAGTTGCTGGACATTGTAACCAAAAGATAAAAATTAAATAAACTTCACATATTGCTTCAATACAATCTGAAGAAATTAAAGACGCGGTTGTCATCATTCTATTTGTTTTAAAAAAACGATACCTATATTTCTTAGAACGAACGAAATTTGCCGGTGTATCCACAAATTGAAATGCTGACATAACTTTTAATATCTAAAGTATTTTTTCATGTCACGTAAAGTAATGGTAATTTTGCTCTTATATCATTTTATCGTTCTTTCCTTTTTGGACCAACAAAGTAATCTTATTTTAAGAAGAAACAAATATGTTTTCCACTTAACCATGTAGTGCGTATATCTGATTTATGACATGGAAAATACCTTATACACACAAAAACAAAAGGCAGGTATGTACCTTCATCTTTTTGAAATTGTTAAATCTTCAAGAGCTGACCTATTAATCATACGTCCAGTAAGAACAATAGCTAATTTAATATCGACATATGCATGCGGAAAAAAGTCACATTAACATGCAGCACTCACGCTTAAGTATATTCATTATCTCCTGCGACGCCTGGGCTGTGTTGAACTGACTCAGCAAGTCCATGACGGTATAATTGTTCGAGTCCCGAATAGAGGTGTTAACTCCTTGTTCCAGTAGAGTCCTGACAACTTCTACTTTCCCGCAAAGCGCGGCCTCGTGTAAAGCTGTTCCCGACTTGGTCCTCATGTTCACGTTGAATCCTGCTCCCAGAAGGACCTCCACCACAGCTCTGAAACAACAAACAGTTTTTAACTAAATACGATAGTTCCAAATGATAATACTGTCAGAAACAATTACTCTACGAGCTATATGCACCGGGTATCAGCAATATACTTAAATACAGCTAGGATCATTCATCGGCCGAACGCACCAGAGATATACCGGTTTAGGATTTGTTAGCCCTAATCATTATGCTATAGGTGTGACAACTGACGAACGATCCAGCTGCTTAGATTCCTTAAATACAGAAGAGGAGGAAGTGTCAACAAAAGATGCAACCGGGACCTGGTGGCCAATGTTACTAACTAAACTGGTTGCAGGAATTAGATATTTTCAGAACATCAGGAAAGCAACCATTGTTTATACATAAATTTGTCAGGTATGTTAAAGGTTTGGCCAGTTGTGTTGCACATTTTTGTATTACTGTTGTGGATATATTATCACAAGCCGAGGATGACGTGTTTTTTAATTTTCTAATTATATCTATAATTTCCGTTTCTGAAGTTTCACTTAAAAATACTGTGCATGTTATTTTGATATCAAAGATACTAGTTTGATCATATTGTTTAACCAGATTATTTGCAATATTTACAAAAAACAAGTTATATTCATTCTCTAGCTTTAGCTATAATTTCTTTGTCAGCTTTATTTTCTTTAAATACTTTTATAACTTCGTGAAGATTAGGGGTTTTTTTGCTTGTACGTGAAAACGGTTAGTTCTATGAAAAAAATTATAGAGATCCATTTCATAGAAAAAATTGTGTAGTTTAATTTAATACAGAATCAATTATTTACATCATACATCGACCAGCGGTTAACAACAAAACCACAAATGCATATAACGTTTGACAATTTAATTTATTTGGTTTATTACAGGTCATTCAACGTCCCTTAGGTCATATCGATTTGGTTATTAGTAACTGGACCAGTTTTGGTCTGCAACCAGTTTATAATATCGTTAGCAGTTTTTGTACCAGAGTAATCTACGGGATACCCATTCCTATACAATTTGAGTGTCGGATAACTCTTCACTCCATTTTCCGCAGCTAGAGACTTTTCTACGTCAGCGTTCACCTTCGCCACTTTGACAGGAGAACCGTTCTCTTTTAGAAGTTCAGCGGTTTTATAAAATTCAGGCGCGAAGTCCCTGCAATGTCCACACCACGGAGCATAGAATTCCACCAGTACGTACTTATAATTTGACGTGGTTTTATCGAAATTACCTTTGTGTAGGTCCAACACGTTGCTACTAGCCAAATTTGCGCAAAATATCAGTGACAGGGAAACGAATATAGTGGGAAATGTCATGATTCAATATACGAAAAAAAGTTGAAAGTGGCTGTCACAATCTTCAAAGTCAATAAATTTTACGGAAATAAGAAATTACATCATCAGCTTAATCTCGTTGAAGGTCATACTTTTGTATATTCTAGAAACCACGGAAATAATTTGCACAAACTTTATGAACTTATGATTCATCAATCACAACAAACCATTGTACGTTGGAACAATGAAAGGGAGATGCAAATTATTTGGATATTTAATTACAAAGCCGTTTGAACGACAATAACGCATTACTAGCGCAAGTTATTCGGCGGCGATACATTAAGTATATAAATTAAAACATGTTCCTGCAGTTAATAACCAATTAGAGATGTCAGTGGTGTGTTATGGATTGTCGAATACCACTAGCTGCAATTACAGCCGATGCATAAAGTAGCCATTCTAGCGAAGATGATCCAGAATTGCCGCACTAATGTGTTCATAGGTAGATGTAGTAAACAAGCTGTTGCACCCTCTCCGGCAGCCAATAATCTACAACCCCTTGCACAGGTAACGCTATCGCGATTATAGTACAGGGGCTTTGTTGAAATCCACTGTTCTATCACTTCCTAGATGGATTTCCTCTATGTCGTTTTAATGTATCTCTGCAGTTTTTCAAATATTTGAGATGTTCACAAAGTACAATATATTTATCAATCAATTTACATGTAGAATCTAAGAATACATGGTATTATGCCTTTGCGAATGAAAATTATTATAAAAATTGCTCGGACTTGTTTTTTGTTTTTGAGAAGAACACTATTTTCATCTAATAATTTTGAATGCGACATATTGTTACACACCATTTGAAAGTGTAGTATTCTATAATCTTTAATGGCCCCGAGAACTTACTGCAGAGAGTATATTTATTTATAAAGGCTAGTGTTACTTACACATACAAGTGTTTACACGCGTCCAAAAAAAAAATGGTAAATAACAATACACATAATGATAGCAATCAACTAACTGTTATATAAATATACATAAACAACATATAATTAAAATAAATATGATAAACAACATACTAAGATTAATGATAACATTCATATTCGAGCTACATTAAATAAAATCTTCAAAACTATAAAAGGCATTTTTTATTAAGTATTTTTTTATCCTTGATTTAAAATTATTTTCATTCAAATTTTGAATTTGGTAAGGTATTATGTTAAAAAATTTGATGGCCCAATAATTAGTACCGACCCGCGTTTTACTAAATCTTAGAAATTTATTACATAAGTATGTGTTCTTTCGGGTATTATAAGAGTGAGTCTCACTTCTGACTTCAAAGTTACCTATGTATGTGATTTTTGACATAAATAAGAATATATGCACAGGGTACAGTTAGAATGTTCAATTTAGAAAACAGTCATCTCTAAAACCAAGGTCAGATATGATTATAATAATTTTTCTCTGAAGAGTAAAAACTTTTTTCATAGAGGGAGCATGACCCCATACTAAAATAGCATATGTTATGATGGAATGGATATAGCCATGATAAACTATCAGCAAGATTGATATTGAGACTCTTCGTTTGAGACTCCGGAGTAAATAAGTATGTTTTGATATCTTGGACCAAACATTATTAACATGTTGATCCCATGTCAGTTTAGGGTCAAGATGAACTTCCAAGAATTTTACATGTGCTGTATTATCCCAGTTTTCCATATTCCGGAGACTAAAAATCATAGTTTCGGTCTTCGAAGTATTCAAACTGAGTTGATTACTAGTAAACCAGTTTTCTACCGATGCATGTTGGTCATAAGTTGATATCATTAATAGCTATATATTCGTGAATTAATTCATGAAGAACTTCGTAAATTTATTCATCAATAAATTGTCAATGTAAAACAGCTATAACTGTTCAAAGTTTAAGTTGGTTCTAGTTATATTGGTATCATCAGCATTATTTTAGTATCATAAGGTAAACAATTAGGAAAATCATTAATATATACCAAAAACAGTTACGGACCCAATGTGGAACATTGTGGAACTTCATGTTCGATATTTTTTATGGATGATTTCACATTATTATATACAACATACTGTAATCTATTTCTCAAATATGATCTCAATAAATCCGAACTGTACGATGAAAAACCATAATTATGTACCTAGCTTATGTATAAGAATTTCGTGTGATACACAATCGAAAGCTTTTGTCAGATCTAAAACTTGACTAGCAACGTATTTCCCTTCTTCAAAACTATTGTTTACTGTGGATGTTAGACAATCTATGGCTAGGGTGGTCGATAGATTACTTCGAAAACCGAATTGTTGAGGGTTGAAAAGTCCCTGAATCTCAAAATAATTAGTTATTTGTATTTTTAAGATAGGTTCATATATTTTAGCTAGATGAGGTATTACAGAGTAATCACATTTTGTTGTGGTTCCTTTCAACTTAACATCCTCTCCACGACATTTTTCACTGATGGTTTCGATTTTTTGTAACCGGTGTGAAAACACCAGCCAAAGGTAGCGGCCAATGTAGCCGANTTCCAAGAATTTTACACTTGCTGGATTATCCCAGTTTTCCATATTCCGGAGACTAAAAATCATAGTTTCGGTCTTCGAAGTATTCAAACTGAGTTGATTACTAGTAAACCAGTTTTCTACCGATGCATGTTGGTCATAAGTTGATATCATTAATAGCTATATATTCGTGAATTAATTCATGAAGAACTTCGTAAATTTATTCATCAATAAATTGTCAATGTAAAACAGCTATAACTGTTCAAAGTTTAAGTTGGTTCTAGTTATATTGGTATCATCAGCATTATTTTAGTATCATAAGGTAAACAATTAGGAAAATCATTAATATATACCAAAAACAGTTACGGACCCAATGTGGAACATTGTGGAACTTCATGTTCGATATTTTTTATGGATGATTTCACATTATTATATACAACATACTGTAATCTATTTCTCAAATATGATCTCAATAAATCCGAACTGTACGATGAAAAACCATAATTATGTACCTAGCTTATGTATAAGAATTTCGTGTGATACACAATCGAAAGCTTTTGTCAGATCTAAAACTTGACTAGCAACGTATTTCCCTTCTTCAAAACTATTGTTTACTGTGGATGTTAGACAATCTATGGCTAGGGTGGTCGATAGATTACTTCGAAAACCGAATTGTTGAGGGTTGAAAAGTCCCTGAATCTCAAAATAATTAGTTATTTGTATTTTTAAGATAGGTTCATATATTTTAGCTAGATGAGGTATTACAGAGTAATCACATTTTGTTGTGGTTCCTTTCAACTTAACATCCTCTCCACGACATTTTTCACTGATGGTTTCGATTTTTTGTAACCGGTGTGAAAACACCAGCCAAAGGTAGCGGCCAATGTAGCCGAACGATACCTAGGCTAGACAATATAGGTTTTTTGTGTTACAAAAATACTAACAGCATACCACCTATGCCATCATTTAAAATACAGTCCGTAAATAAACTCTGATATGTTTTCGACTCGCAACTCTCATTTATTAATTTGTTATTAATATTTTAGTGCAAAAACGGGTTTCTTTTTTGTTTTTTGCTTATAAAACTAAAATTTATAGGGCAATCTCAATTCCGTAAATGGAAAAGTTGTAGGAAATTAAATTTCGAAGAAAATGAGAGGTCGACTGATTCTCGATCGGTTGATTAGAACCGGAGAAAATCGTCATTTTTTTCAAAAA